ACAAATCAGTTGCTGTTTAACAGTAGATTTAATAAATGTGAGGCTATTATATATAATTTCATGTTTCTTTATCACTTCAATACTTTCAATTTTTATTGGGAAATAGCTTTCATTATTTATATTATCTTAAAATTGCATAAGAAACATGCTCTATAAAATACAAGATCTACCTCTTTTAATTATTGAGATAATTTCCTTGACACAGGAACATATATAATTCTGTGAGTCTTGGCTTTGCTTTGTGGGGTGTTCTTGGAGTATCTTGTGACTGGGACCTGTTAGGGTCACTGGCATTTTGCTTAGCTATAAATTATAAACAGATGGAACTGTACCACTCCTTGCCATTTTTTTGCTTTTTACTTGGCAAGTGTTTTAAAAAAGATCTCAAAGGAAAGGGGTGAGTGACTTTTAAACACCAGAATTCAAAAATTTGCTTCAAAGAATTTTTTTTGGCATACTTAATTGTAGGAAGGTGATCTTCCACTTTGTCTTTTGTTGATTTCTTATAAATGTGTTGGCCATGGGGTGAGTAGGAAGAAAGAGATTAAGTCATATTCTGTATTCTTTTATTTTAAATTTTCCTAACTAGAGAAATATTTTGATCAATATACATTTACTGGAGGTAATGGGGATTGGCTTGTTAGAGCACTGCTGTAGAGTTTCATCACTTTAGAGCTTGTTCCATTATATACTTACTATAAATACATTCCCATTTGATATTTTTCTTCTTGACTACATTCCCTTATTCCCATAGGAGTGGCATCTAAGTGAAATGTTAATTAGGATGGTTATAGCAGTCTTTTTGTTGAAGTACATATTTTAACAGTTGTGAATTTTTTAACTCTGATTTGAGCAGATTCCCGTCTTAAACCTATATTGGTAACATAGATTTAGCATTGCTATATATTTGCATTCATTATATTCAGTGAGACTCAGGTTGATTTTTCAGAATTATTAACCTTTCCCTATCTTACTACTTACTTTTGTTTTTGTTCTAGGTTTGTGTTGCTAATTAAGCTAGTTTGTACTGTTGTGGCTTCCTTCATTCTCTGCTGGCTGCCATTCTTTACTGAAAGGGAACAAACCTTGCAGGTTTTAAGAAGACTCTTCCCAGTTGATCGTGGATTATTTGAGGCATGTTTGAAAACTTTCCTCTCCTTTCCATTACTGTACCTTCCCTGTGACCTTTAGGGATTTCATATAGAAGACTCTCAAGGGCCCAGATGTGGTAGCTCACGCCTGTAATCCTAGTACTTTGCGAGGCTGAGGCAGGAGGATTGTTTGAGGCCAGGAGGTTGAGACCAGCCTAGGCAAAATAATGAGATCCTATCTCTAAAAATAAAAATAAAAAAATTAGCCAGGTACAGTGGTACATACCTATAGTCCCAGCTAATTGGGAGGCTGAGGTGGGAGGATTGCTTGAGCCCAGAGTTTGAGGTTGCAGTGAGCTATGATGATGCCACTGCACTTTAGCCTGGGCGACAGAACAAGACTCTGTCTCTAAAAAAGACACACAAGGAATAGGAACTGCCGCTACTTTCCTTCTGTAATCATTCCTTGCCAGTTATTTACTTTTTTTAGAGACACACAGTGTCTCACTATATTGCATAGGCTGTACTTGCACTACAGCCTTGAACTCCTGTTCTCAAGTAATCCTCCTGCCTCAGTCTCCTGAATAGCTAGGACAACAGGCATGGGTACCGTGCTAGTTATTTAATCTAGTATATAACCCCTAGCTCAACTGGCATTTTAATCAATAGGTAATATTTATGCCATCATTAAATCCATAATTCAATTATATATTTTTCTAATGAAATAGGGTCCATAATGAAAGATAATATGAGAAGTTGCAGCTACAATGTTAACAGCTGTGTAATTTTTTTGGTTTATATGCTCTTTTTAGTCTTAGAAAATTATTTGTTAAACTAATAATCATGTTTGCTTCAGAAAGATCTCATAATTCCTTATGAGATATATAACCTTCATCCATAGTAATTTTTAATGAGACTCTTTCATTTAATGCTAGTTTAATCACTCTTGTTAAACTTTTATTACATGAATAATCTGATCATTTAGATTTAGTAATTAAATTAAACAAACCATTTTTCTGAAACAAAAAGGCCTTTTAATAAAGTTACACAGAGACAACATATTTATAGATAATTTGCTTTTGAATAATATTTCTCTTAAAAAGAATTAGAAAAGCATATATATCTTTCTAATTTTGAATATATAAATTTCTATAGAATATCTTTCAGTGGATTTACAGGACGATGAAACAAGCATTTTGAAGGAGACTAAGAAAGGAGTTTGGTGTTGTGAAGGAATGGGAACGTGTGACTGCGCGTCAGTGGGGATAATGGTAGTGGTGATACTGATAATAATATATGATCCGTATGATTATTAATTGTTACCACAATTTACTTATTAGATGCCAGACATTTCCATGTAATTTTATTTGATCCTTACAGTAGCTCTAAGGTAGCTGCTATCCCCATTACAGTACCTGAGAGGTAGCTGCTATCCCCA